ACCATGGGGGTCCCAGAGCTACCCTGGGGGTCCCAGAGCCACCCCAAGGGTCACCATGTTCCCGGTGGGCTTCATCCCTGTGAGACCCCCAGCCCACCCCAGGGGTCCCACACTCAACACAGGGACCCCTCCAGAAGTACAAATGAGGCCCCCCCAGATCTATGGGGTGGGGGACTCTGGATGGGGTGAGGGACCCCAAATCCACCAGGAAACTGCCCCCAAAACACCCCCAACCCAGCACCACCCCACACCTACAAATGAGACCCCCCAAGATCTACGGGGTGAGGGGTTCTCAGAGCCCCCCAGGATGTGGGGAGGGACCCCAAATCCACCAGGGACCCCCCCCTTCCCCACAAAGCCCCAAAACCAGTGTGACCCCCAAGGCTGTGCACAGCTGGGGGGTCCCACATCCCCCCCCCCACCCCCTCACCTGGTCCGTAGGCTCGGGCCTTCTTGGGGTTGAGTTTGGGGCGCAGGGGGGCCCCCGGTTTGAGCTTGGCCTTGGGGAACTGGGACAGGTACGTCATCACCGAGTGCTCGTCCACGTTGGGGTCCACGATCTCCTCGGGGGTGATCACCTGGGGGGGGCGTTGGGGGGTCGTTGGGGGTCATTGAGGGTCATTGGGAGTCCCCTGTGCCCCAGCCTAGGGCTGATCATTGGGGTCATTGGGGTCCTCCTGTACCCCCAGCGTGGGGTTGATCACCTGGGGGCGTTGGGGGTCATTGGGGGAGGTCATTGGGGTCCCCCTGTACCCCCCAGTCTGGGGTTGATCACTGGGGGTTCACTGTGGGGTCTTTGGGGTCCCCCTGTGCCCCCAGCCTAGGGCTGATCACCTGGGGGGGACGTTGGGGGGGTCATTGGGGGGTCATTGGGGGGGTCATTGGGGTCCTCCTGTGCCCCCCCAGCCTAGAGATGATGACCAGGGGGGTCATTGGGGGGTCACCAGAGGGGTCATTGCAGTCTCTGTGTGACCCCCCAGCCTGGGGCTGATCACTGGGGGTCACTGGGGGGGTCTTTGGGGTCCTCCTGTGCCACCCCAGCCTGAGGATGATCATTGGGGGGTCACTGGGGGGTCATTGTGGTCCCCCTGTGCCCCCAGCCTGCAGATGATGACCAGGGGGGTCATTGGGGGGTCACCAGGGGGGTCATTGGGGTCTCCCTGTGCCCCCCAGCCTGGGGATCACCTGGGGGGTCATTGGGGGGTCACCAGGGGGTCACTGGGGGGGTTTATGGACAGGGGTCACCAGAGGGTCACTGGGGGGTCACCAGGGGTCTTACCTGAGGGATGGGGTGTCCCCAGGGGGGTCATTGAGGGGGGGTTATGGAGAGGGGTACCCAGGGGGGATGTCCCCAGGGGGTCCCTGGGGTGGTTTATGGACAGGGGTCACCAGAGGGTCACTGTGGGGGGGTCACAGCAGGGTTAGGGGGTCCCCAGGGGGTCACTGTGGGGTCACCTCAGGGTCATGGGGAGGGGGTCCCAGGGCGGGGGGTCTCACCTGGGGGATGCCCAGCCACTCGTCCGCCTGCTGCATCGCCTCCCGCGCGTTCTCAATGGGCCTGCTGGGGTCCCACGAGTCCCAGTCGGGGCACAGCCCTGGGGGGTGGCACTCGTCACCCTGGGGGTCCTCGGGACCCCCCCGGGCCACCAATGCCACCCCAAACTGTCCCTGAGCACATCGGGGTAACCCCGTGTCCTGAAGCACCCCCAGAGACCCCCCCTCACCATGTCCTTGTGGTCCCCCAAGACCACCCCGGGCCACCCCCCTGTCCCCTTCCATCCCAGGGCCACCCCAGGGTGTCCCCAGCTGTCCCCAGAGCCACCACCCCTGTCCCCTTCCATCCCAGGGCCACCTCCCCACGTGTCCCCAGATGTCCCCAGAGCCACCACCCCTGTCCCCTTCCATCCCAGGGTCACCCCAGAGTGTCCCTGGTGTCCCCAGGGCTACCCCAGGGTGTCCCCAGCTGTCCCCAAAGCCACCACCCCTGTCCCTGTGCACCCCAGGGCCACCTCCTGGTGTCCCCACCCCTCCCCAGGGCCACTTCCACGTGTCTCCTGTCCTCCCAGTGCCACCACCCACATCTTCTGGTATCCCCAGGGCCCCTCCCAGTGCCCCCAATGACCCAGTGTCCCCTCCCAGTAGGCCAGGGCCCCCCTCCCAGTGCTCCCAGCGCCCCTCACCGGGGGTACAGCTGTCCACCAGTGCTCCCAGTGCCCCCTCCCAATGTCCCCAGTGCTCCCAGTGCCACTCCCAGTGCTCCCAATGCCCCTCACCGGGGGCACGGCTGTCCCCAGTGCTCCCAGTGCCCCCTCCCAGTGCTCCCAGTGCCCCCTCCCAGTGTCCCCAGTGCCCCTCACCGGGGGCACAGCTATCCACCAGTGCTCCCAGTGCCCCCAGTGGTCCTTCCCAGTGCTCCCAGCATCCCTCACCAGGGGCACAGCTGTCCCCCAGTGCTCCCAGTGCCCCCAGTGGTCCTTCCCAGTGCTCCCAGCATCCCTCACCAGGGGCACAGCTGTCCTAGTGCTCCCAGTGCCCCCAGTGGTCCTTCCCAGTGCTCCCAGCATCCCTCACCAGGGGCACAGCTGTCCCCCAGTGCTCCCAGTGTCCCCAGTGGTCCTTCCCAGTGCTCCCAGCATCCCTCACCAGGGCACAGCTGTCCCCCAGTGCTCCCAGTGTCCCCAGTGGTCCTTCCCAGTGCTCCCAGCATCCCTCACCAGGGGCACAGCTGTCCACCAGTGCTCCCAGTGCCCCCAGTGGCCCTTCTCAGTGCTCCCAGTGCCCCCTCCCAGTGCTCCCAGCACTCCCAGTGCCCCTCACCAGGGGCACAGCTGTCCCCCAGTGCTCCCAGTGTCCCCAGTGGTCCTTCCCAGTGCTCCCAGCATCCCTCACCAGGGGCACAGCTGTCCACCAGTGCTCCCAGTGCCCCCTCCCAGCACTCCCAGTGCCCCTCACCAGGGGCACAGCTGTCCACCAGTGCTCCCAGTGCCCCCTCCCAGCACTCCCAGCGCCCCTCACCGGGGGCACAGCTGTCCACCAGTGCTCCCAGTGCCCCCTCCCAGCACTCCCAGCGCCCCTCACCGGGGGCACAGCTGTCCACCAGTGCTCCCAGTGCCCCCTCCCAGCACTCCCAGCGCCCCTCACCGGGGGCACAGCTGTCCACCAGTGCTCCCAGTGCCCCCAGTGCCCCCTCTCAGTGTTCCCAGTGTCCCCAATGCCCCTCACCGGGGGCACAGCTGTCCACCAGTGCTCCCAGTGCCCTGCCGCTCTGCCAGTCCTTGCTGAAGTTGGTGATGGGCAGCTGGGGGAGCCGGTTCTGGATCCAGCCCAGCAGCCGCTGCTTCGGGGTCTGGCGCTTGGCCTCCTCCTCGTCCTCCTCGTCCCACATGGGCATGGAGATGGAATAGTGCAGGATGAGGGTCCAGATCAGCCCCAGGATCAGCTTCAGGTTCCCATCCACGATGGCCTTGCTGTCTGGGGGGGGATAGAGGGGAGATTTGGGGTCACCAGGGGGGCATTTGGGGTCAGCAGGGGGCACATGGAGATGGAATAGTGCAGGATCAGCGTCCAGATCAGCCCCAGGATCAGCTTCAGGTTCCCATCCACGATGGCCTTGCTGTCTGGGGGGGGATATAGGGGAGATTTGGGGTCAGCAGGGGGATTTGGGGTCTCCAGGGGGATTCGGGGTCTCCAGGGGGATTCGGGGTCTCCAGGGGGATTCGGGGACATGGGGTCTGCAGGGGGTATTTGGGGTCAGTAGGAGGGATTTGGGGGATTTGGGGTCTCCAGGGGGATTTGGGGTCAGCAGGGGGCACATGGAGATGGGAATAGTGCAGGATGAGCTGTCCAGATCAGCCCCAGGGATCAGCTTCAGGTTCCCATCCACGATGGCCTTGCTGTCTGGGGGCACAGGGGGATTTGGGGTCAGCAGGGGGATTTGGGGTCTCCAGGGGATTTGGGGTCAGCAGGGGGCACATGGAGATGGAACAGTGCAGGATGAGGGTCCAGATCAGCCCCAGGATCAGCTTCAGGTTCCCATCCACGATGGCCTTGCTGTCTGGGGGGCAGGGGGATATGGGGTCAGCAGGGAAGAAATGGGGTCAGCAGGGGAGGATTTGGGGGGATTTGGGGTCAGTAGAGGGGACAGGGGTGACACAGGGGGTATGGGGTCAGCAGAGGGGACAGGGGTGACATGAGGGGGGTTGGGGTCAGCAGAGGGGACGGGGACTGTCCCTAGGGATGGGGACACCCCACAGGGATGGGGACACACTGAGGGACACCCTGCAGGGACAGGGACACCCCACAGGGATGGGGAACATCCCACAGGGATGGGGACATCCCACAGGGATGGGGACACCCCACAGGGACAGGGACACCCCACAGGGATGGGGACATCCTACAGGGATGGGGAACATCCCACAGGAACAGGGACACCCCACAGGGACAGGGGACATCCCACAGGGACACAGTCAGGGTGGGTGTCCCAGTCCCCACCAGTGACTTGGGGGTCTCAGGGTGGTTGTGGGGTGTCAGGAGTGGGTTTGGGGTGTCAGGGTGGGTGTCCCACCCTCCATCAGTGATTTGGGAGTCTCAGGGGTGGTTTGGGGGTCTCAGGGTGGGTGTCCCGCTCCCTGCTGGGGTTTTGGGGGTGTCAGGGGTGGGTTTGGGGTGTCAGGGTGGGTGTCCCAGTCCCCATGAGTGATTTGGGGATCTCAGGGTAGTTTGGGGGTCTCAGGGTGGGTGTGTCAGTCCCTGCTGGGGTTTTGGGGTCTCAGGGGTGGTTTTGGGGGTCTCAGGGTGGGTGTCCCACTCCCTGCCAGGATTTTGGGGTGTCAGGGGTAGGTTTTGGGGTGTCAGGGTGGGTGTCCCAGTCCCCATGAGTGATTTGGGGGTCTCAGGGTGGGTGTCCCGGTCCCTGCTGGGGCTTTGGGGGTCTCAGGGGTGGTTTGGGGTCTCAGGGTGGGTGTCCCACCCTCCATCAGTGATTTGGGGTCTCAGGGGTGGTTTGGGGGTCTCAGGGTGAGTGCCCCGCTCCCTGCTGGGGTTTTGGGGTCTCAGGGGTGGTTTGGGGGTCTCAGGGTGGGTGTCCCGGTCCCTGCTGGGGTTTTGGGGTGTCAGGGGTGGGTTTGGGGTCTCAGGGTGGGTGTCCCACTCCCCACCAGTGATTTGGGGATGTCAGGGTGGGTGTCCCATTCCTTGCTGGGGTTTTGGGGTGTCAGGGGTGGGTTTGGGGTGTCAGGGTGGGTATCCCAGTCCCTGTTGGGGTTTTGGGGTGTCAGGGTGGGTGTCCCAGTCCTCATGAGTGATTTGGGGATCTCAGGGTAGTTTTGGGGTCTCAGGGTGGGTGTGTCAGTCCCTGCTGGGGTTTTGGGGTGTCAGGGGTGGGTTTGGGGTGTCAGAGTGGGTGTCCCACCCTCCATCAGTGGTTTGGGGGTCTCAGGGTGGGTGTCCCGCTCCCTGCCAGGATTTTGGGGTGTCAGGGGTGGGTTTGGGGTCTCAGGGGGGGTGTCCCAGTCCCCATCAGTGATTTGGGGGTCTCAGGGTAGTTTTGGGGTCTCAGGGTGGGTGTGTCAGTCCCTGCTGGGGTTTTGGGGGTGTCAGGGTTTGGGGTGTCAGAGGTGGGTTTGGGGTCTCAGGGTGGGTGTCCCACTCCCCATGAGTGATTTGGGGGTCTCAGGGGTGGTTTTGGGAGTCACAGGGTGGGTGTCCTGCTCCCTGCTGGGGTTTTGGGGGTGTCAGGGGTGGGTTTGGGGTCTCAGGGGGGGTGTCCCAGTCCCCATGAGTGATTTGGGGGTCTCAGGGGTGGTTTGGGAGTCACAGGGTGAGTGCCCGGTCCCTGCTGGGGTTTTGGGGTCTCAGGGGTGGTTTGGGGTCTCAGGGTGGGTGTCCCACTCCTGCTGGGGTTTTGGGGTCTCAGGGGTGGTTTTGGGGGTCTCAGGGTGGGTGTCCCGCTCCCTGCTGGGGTTTTGGGGTCTCAGGGGTGGTTTGGGGGTCTCAGGGTGGGTGTGTCAGTCCCTGCTGGGGTTTTGGGGTCTCAGGGGTGGTTTGGGGGTCTCAGGGTGAGTGCCCCGATCCCTGCTGGGGTTTTGGGGTCTCAGGGGTGGTTTGGGGGTCTCAGGGTGGGTGTGTCAGTCCCTGCTGGGGTTTTGGGGTGTCAGGGCAGGTCCCCAGACCCCGCCAACGGTTTTGGGGTGTCAGGGCGGGTGCCGAAGCTCCCACGGGGGTTTTTGGGGTTTCAGGGCAGGGGCCCCGCCCCCTTCCAGCGGTTTTGGGGTTTCAGGGCAGGGGCCCCGCCCCCCTCCAGCGGTTTTGGGGTGTCAGGGCTGGTCCCCAGCTCCCCACGCGTGGTTTTGGGGTCTCGGGGTGCGTCCCCAGCTTCCCACGCGCGGTTTTGGGGTCTCAGGGCGGGTCCCCCCCGCCCCCATCACCCATCAACCCCCCATTTTGGGGGGCGTGGCAGCGGCCCCCGCTCCCCGCGGGGGTTTTGGGGTCTCAGGGTGTGCCCCCCGCTCCCCACGCGCGGTTTTGGGGTGTCCGGGCGAGTCCCCCCGCCCCCATTACCCATCAACCCCCTATTTTGGGGGAGGGGCGTGGCGGCGGCCCCGCTCCCCGCTGGGGTTTTGGGTCCCCCGCCCCCATTTCCCCCGGCCCCCGTTTTTGGGGTGTAACGGCGGCCCCGGTCCCGCCCCGCGGTTTAGGGGGCTGGGGGGCTGGGGTTGGGCGGTGCTGGGGTGGGGATGGGCCGCGGCCCCACCCCTGCTCCAGCATTTTTGGCCATATAGGGCTCGGGCACCGCCAGGCCCCGCCCCACCGCCGCCCCCAAACCCACCCCCCTCAACCCCAGGACCCCCTGGGACCCCCGGCGCCCCCTGCCCTCGCTGGGACCCCCGAGACCCCCCACCCGATCCACCCCCACCGCAATCGGCGCCCTGCAGGATTTGGGACCCCCAGGACCCCCCTCGCATTCCTGGGGTGGGAGGGGGCCCTCCGCCCCCCGCCTTTGTCGTGGGGCCGCCAGGGGATTGGGGGTCCCAAATTGGGGAGGGGCCCAGACAGGTCCCTGTGGGGGCTCCGATTGGGGGTCCCAAGATCCCAAACACGGGGGTCCAGCAGCGGGACCCCCAAAGCATTTTTGGGGGGCACACACAAGCGGCCATTCCTGCGGGGGTCTCGGGGGGAGGGTCTCACCCCCATCCCAGCGGGGGACCCCAAAAGCGTCCTAGGACTTTGGAGGGGTTGCCCTTAGGGGGCGTCTCGGGGTCTCACTTTTGGGGGGGGCTCTCCCTGAAGTCCCCCCGTTACTCTGAGGTTGGGGGGACCCGCAGCCCCCCACCCAAATATCACCGATGGAGCTTCAGGGCCCCCCCTCTCACTCGGGGGTCCCGTTTGGGGCGAGGGGGGGCGTGTCCCAGGGGTCCCATAGGGCCCCCCCCCCCAGAATCTCTGGGGGCCGGGGTCTCCCAGCAGACCCCTCCCCATCTGTGGGGCCCGGGGGTCCCATAACCGACCCCCCCTCAATCTCTGGGGTCCGGGGGTCCTCAGCAGACACCCCCCCCCCCCAGTCTGTGGGGTGGGGGTCCCGCAACAGATGACCCCACACACACATTTTTTGGGGACTGGGGGTCCCACAACAGACCCCCCCAATCTGTGGGGCTGGGGGTCGCCGAAGAGATCCCCCACCCCAATCTGTGGGGCCTGGGGGTCCCGAAGAGACCCCCCCTCTCCATTTCTGGGGCCTAGGGGTCCCAGCAGAACCCCCCTCTCCATTTCTGGGGCCTGGGGGTCCCGAAGAGACCCCCCTCCATTTCTGGGGCCTGGGGGTCCCCAGCAGACCCCTCCCCTCCATTTCTGGGGCCTGGGGGTCCCCAGCAGACTCCTCTCCAATCTGTGGGGCCCGGGGTCCCGAACAGACCCCCCCCTCATCTCTGGGGTCCCTCTCAAGGACCCCAAACCCCACCACGTCTCCGGAGCCCGGGGGTCTCCCCAAAGACCCCCCCGTGTCTCAGGGGTCTCCCCGGCATCTCCCCCATCTCCGGGGGCCGTTCTAGGGCGACCACCCTCCCTCCCATCACCGACCGAGACCCCTCCGAGCCTCTCCCCGCACTTCTCACGCCCCCACACCCCTCCCACCCTCCCCATCCCCATTTCGGGGGTCTCTCCGTGCCCCCACCAGCAGCACCACTCCGACGCTCTCTCCTCCCTCTCCTCGCACTTCTCACCCCCTCATCCATCCCCCAGGGGATACCCTGCAGATCCCCACTCCCCTTTCCCCCATTTCGGGGTCTCTCCGTTGTCCCCTCCCTCTCCAACAAGCACCACTCCGACGCTTTCTCTCCCTCTCCCGCACTTCTCACCCCCATCCATCCCCCCAGGGAATACCCCTGGATCCCCACTCCCTTTCCCCTCATTTCAGGGGTCTCTCCCGTGTCTCCCCTTCTCCCTCTCCCCACTCCGACGCTCCCTCTCCCTCCCTCTCTCCGCACTTCTCACCCCCCATCCATCCCCCAGGGATACCCCTCAGATCCCTCCCCACCCCCAATTCCGGGGTCTCTCCCCGCGCGGCGCTCACCGATGGACACGAGCTTGATGTTCTCCCTCTCGAGGAACTCGAGGGCCACCGACACGTTCTCCAGCTGCATCTGGCGGAAGGTGGGGCGCGCGTTGTACTTGCGGCCCATCTGCTTCTGGCTGAGCACCTCGAGCAGGGCGATGAGGCGCAGCCCGTCGCCCAGGTCGGTCTGCAGGTTGCCCACGCGCTTCTGCACGCACTTGAGGTGCTCGTTGCACCAGCGGGTGAAGGTGTTCTGCTGGATGCGCTTCCAGGGCGCGTCCTCCGCCAGGTCCTTCTCCGTGGCCGGCATCTCCGCGTCCGCCTCGCCACGGCCCGCGGGCTCCGCGCGGCCCCGCCCGGCCCCGCTCATCGTGCCCGGGGCGACCCGGCCCCCGCAAGGGGCGTGCGGGAGTGGGCGCGGGAGGGGCCGCGCCTGCGCTCGGCCCGGGGAGGGGGAGCTGCGGGAGGGGAGAGGAGGGAGAGAGAGGGGTGAGCGGAGGGGGAGAACGGGAGGATGGGGGAGAGGGGGACCGCGAGTGGGAGCTGCGGTGGGGAGGGGGAGGAGAGACCCCGGAACGAGGGAACCCCGTGAAGTGGGATCGAGGTAGGGAGAGACCCCCGGAACGAGGGACACCCCATGAGGTGGGATCGAGGGTAGGGGAGACCCCGGGAACGAGGGAACCCCGTGAAGTGGGATCGGGGTAGGAGAGACCCCCGGACCGAGAGACCCCCATGGGGTGGGATCGGGGTAGGGGGAGACCCCCGGAACGAGGGAACCCCGTGAAGTGGGATCGGGGTAGGGAGAGACCCCCGGACCGAGGGACCCCCGTGAAGTGGGGTGGGGGTAGGGGGAGACCCCCGGAACGAGGGAACCCCGTGAAGTGGGATCGGGGTAGGGAGAGACCTCCGGAACGAGGGAACCCCGTGAAGTGGGACCCCCGCGGGGTGGGATCGGGGTAGGGGGAGACCCCCGGACCGAGGGAACCCCGCGAAGTGGGACCCCCGCGGGGTGGGATCGGGGTAGGGGGAGACCCCCGGACCGAGGGACCCCCGCGAAGTTGGATCGGGGTAGGAGAGACCCCCGGACCGAGGGAACCCCACGAAGTGGGATCCCCGCGAAGTGGGGTCGGTGGAGGGAGAGACCCCCGGACCGAGGGAACCCCGTGAAGTGGGATCGGGGTAGGGGGAGACCCCCGGAACGAGGGAACCCCGCGGGGTGGGGTAGGGATAGGGGGAGACCCCCGGACCGAGGGAACCCCGCGAAGTGGGATCGGGGTAGGGAGAGACCCCCGGACCGAGGGACCCTCACACCAAGAGACCCCCGCACCGTGGGACCTCCGCACGGAGAGACCCCCAGACCGAGGGACCCCCAGACCGAGAGACCCTCACACTGGGGGACCCCCACACTGAGGGACCCCCACACCAGGTGACCCCCAAACCGGGGAGCCCCTCACTGAGGGACCCCCAAACATCTCCTCTGGGGGACCCCCACCCCGGGGGACCCCCTTGGTGCTCCCCAACATGAAACACACCCCCGCCCCCCCGCGAGGGACCCCCACATTGGGGGACCCCCACACCGAGGGACCCTCGACCACCCCTAACGGGGGACCCCCACTCTGGGGGACCCCCCAATACCAGGGGACACCCTTGAGCAATTTCCCCCCCTCCCCCAAAGACCCCAAGCTGTGGGACCCCCCCATTCAAGGGACCCCCTCCTTTGGGGGACCCCCAAACTGCGGGACCCCCGATATCCCTACACAGGGACCCCCCCGCACACCCCCCAATTTACGGGACCCCCTCCTTTGGGGGACCCCCCGCACTTTGGGGGGGCTCCCCGGGCGCCCCAGTTTGGGGGACCCCAGGCTCTGTCAGTCCCAAATTTGGGGGGGCAGTGGGGGTGTGTCCCCCCGCCCAAGTCCCCGGGTTCCCACAGGGGTCCCAGGCCCCCAAAAAGGGGCTGCGACCCCAAAATGGGGGGTCTTGGAGGATCTTTCCAAAAGGGCCCCCCCCACCCAGCAATCCCAAAGAGGGGTCCCCAACCCAAAAAGGGTCCCCTCCAGACCCCCCCCCAAAAAAAATTGGGGTCCCCTCACTGCTCCCCTGATGGGGGTCCCCAGTTCCCCTTAAGGGGTCCCCCAGCCCTGTTCAGGGGGGTTCCCAGCCCCATTCCGGGGTCCCCCAGCCCCGTTCGGGGGGTTTCTCCCCATGACACCCCCACAGGGGTCTCTCAAAGGGAGTCCCCCCACCCCCAAAAGCGGGGTCCCCTCACTGCTCCCCTGATGGGGGGTCCTCAGTTCCCCTCAGGGGGTCCCTCAGCCCCGTTCTGGAGGTCTCAGCCCCATTCCGGGGGTCCCACAGACCCATTCAGGGGGTCTCAGCTCTGTTCCAGGGGTCCCCCAGCCCCATCTGGGGGGTCCCAGTCCCATTCTGGGGGTCCCCCAGCCCCATCTGGGGGGTCCCGACCCCATTCCGGGGTCTCCCAACCCATCTGGGGAGTCCTAACCCCATTCTGGGGGTCCCCCAGCCCCATTCCGGGGGTCCCACAGCCCCATTCCGGGGGTCTCAGCTCTGTTCCGGGGTTCTCCAGCCACAATCTGGGGGGTCCCAGCCCCATTCTGGGGGTCCCCCAGCCCCATTCCGGGGTCCCCCAACCCATCTGGGGAGTCCTAACCCCATTCCGGGGGTCCCACAGCCCCATTCCGGGGGTCTCTCAGGGGGTTCTCCCCATCCCCAAAAGGGGAGTCCCCCCAGTCGGTCCCCGGGGGGGCAGTCGGGGGTCCCGGGGAGTCGGGGGTCGTTCCCCGGGGTCGGTCCTGGGTGATCAGGTACCCGGGGAGGGTCGGGGTCCCGGAGGCTCGTGGGTCGGTCCTCGGGGTTCGTGGGGTCAGTCCCCGAGGGTCGTTGGTGGTCCAGGAGTCCTGGGGTTCGTGGGTCACTCCCGGGGTCGGGGGTCGTTCCTCGGGGGTCGGTCCCGGGTGATCGGTACCCGGGGAGGGGTCGGGGGTCGCCGGGGCTCGTGGGGTCTGTCCTCGGGGCTCGTGGGGTCAGTCCCCGGGGGTCGTTAGGGTGGTCCCAGGTCGGTCCCCGCGGGTCGGTACCTGGTGGTCGGTACCCAGGAGGAGATCGGTGGTCCCCGCGGGTCGGGGGTCGTTCCCCGGGGGTCGGTACTGGGTGATCGGTGCCCGGGGAGGGCTCGGGGGTCCCGGGGGCTCGCAGTGTCGGTTCCCTGGGGTCAGTGGTCCCGGGGTCGTTCCCAGGGTCAGTCAGTGGTCCCGGGGGTCTGTCCCGGTGATCGGTGCCCGGGGAGGGGTCAGTGGTCCAGGGGCTCGCGGGTCGGTCCCGGGTCAGTCCGGTGGTCCCGGGGTCGGTCCCGGTGATCGGTGCCCGGGGCTCCCGTAGGGTCGGTGGTCCCGGGGCTCATGAGGTCAGTTCCCTGGGGGTCGGTGGTCCCGGGGGTCGTTCCCCGGGGTCAGTCGGTGGTCCCGGGGGTCGGTCCCGGGTGATCGGTGCCCAGGAGGGGGTCGGTGGTCCCAGGGGGTCGCGGGGTCGGTTCCCTGGGGGTCGGTACTCTGGTGGCCGGGGGTCCCTGGGGTCGGTCCCGGTGGGTCTCAGTGGCTCAGGTGGATCCAGGTGGATCCTCGGTGGGTCCTGATGGATCCCGGAGGGGTCAGGTGGATCCCGATGGATCCCTGGAGGGTCCCGGAGGGTCAGGTGGATCCCGGAGGGTCTGGTGGATCCTGATGGATCCCGGTGGATCCCGGAGGGTCCCGATGGATCCCGGAGGGTCCCGGAGGGTCCGGGTGGTCCCGCGGCCGCCGCCCGGGTCGCAGTGCCGGTGCCGGGGGTCGCGCGGCGCGCGTGAGCCTTAATTGGTAACGAGCGGAGGAGCCCCGCCCAGGGGGTCGGGAGGGTCAGGGGCGTGGGGAGGGCACGGGGGACGGGGAAGATCTGGGGGTGATGGAGGGGCAACACCCCTAGGGTGGGGAGGGGGGTTGAGGGGTCCACGGGGACCCCTGGGGTGGGGTTTGGGGGACCCCCAGACTCGTCCTGGGGGTGGCGGGGGGTCAGGGGACCCCATGAGGGGGAGGCGCGGGGGGCACAGGGACGTCATGGGGGGCTCAGGGGGCGTGGGGACCCCATAAGGTCCGAGGGGGCGTTGGGGGGGTCAGTGGGGTGATGGGGGCTATGGGGGCTAGTGGGGAAGGGGGCTTTGGGGTGCGATGGGGGGGCTAGGGGGCCGTGGGGACCCCATAAGGTCCAGGGGGTTGGGGGCTCATGGGGTGATGGGGGCTATGGGGGTTTAGGGGGCCATGTGGGGTGATGGGGGCCTATAGGGGAAAGGGGGGGGTTTAGGGGGCCATGGGGACCCCATAAGGTCCGGGAGGTTTTGGGGAGGGCCGTGGGGACACCACGGGTTAGGGGGTTCAAGGGGGCCACAGGGACCCCCTGGGGTGGAATGGGGACTTTGTGGGGTTCTGGGGGCTCCATAGGGTGGGGGCTGTGGGGACCCCATAGAGTGGGGTGGGGGCTCTGGGGTCCATATGGACCCCATGAGGTGTTGGGGGCCCTTGGGGGGCTCTGTAGGGTCTGGGGGTGGGGGCACACCCTATGGAGGGGGGGGGACAGGAGGGGTTCCCGTGGGGGGCTATAGGGCAGGAAGGGTCTTATAGGGTGTCCTGGGATCCTATAGGGTGTCCTGAGGCCCTATAGGTGGTCATGAGGTCCTTTAGGGGGTCCTGGGGTCCTATAGGGGGTCCTGGGGTCCTATAGGGGGTCACACCCCCTTATGGGGCTCTATAGGATGTCCCAGGGCACTCTGGGGGGCCCTGTGGGGCAGAAGGGACCTATAGGATGTCACAGGGCCCTATGGGTTCCCACAGGGTGTCATGGGACCCTCGGGGGGCCCTGTGGGGCAGAAGGGACCCCCAGGACCCTATGGGGTGTCACAGGGTCCTATGGGGTGTCCTATAGGGTGTCACTGGACCCTATGGGGCAGGAGGGACCCATGGGACCCTATAGGGAGTCGTGGGGTCCTGGGGGGTTGTCCTGGGGCCCTATGGGGTCCTATGGGGTGCCAGGGACCCACAGGGCCCTATAGGATGTCCCAAGGCCCTGTGGGGTCTCCTGGGCTCCTCTGGGCCTCTATGGGGTGGGAAGGACCTATGGGGCCCTATAGGGTGTCACAGGGCTCTGTAGGGTCCTGTGGGGTGTCCCAGGGCCCTATGGGGCCCTATGGGGTAGGAGGGACCCACAGGACTCTGTGGGGTGTCACAGGGCTCTGTAGGGTCCCATATGGTGTCCTGGGGCCCTATAGAGCTCTATAGGGTGCCCCAGGCTCTGTAGGGTGTCCCAGGGCCCTACAGGGCTCTATAGGG